TTATTGACAATAATTTCATTTATGGCAATGTGAGAGTCGGTTAAGGTTTAGGTATGAACAAGCCCTAAGAAGACCATTCCCCGGTTATCCCAGGTAAATGTTTCTGGTAAGTTACACTGAACGAAACATCAAGCTTCAGATCTCGAGAGTACGAGATGAGACTTCAGACGAGATATCGATAGGATTGTAGTTGGAGGGTTTTCTCCCTAGGTGCGTACAAAATCCATTAACATCAATGTAAGTTATACATTTCGATTCTTTTCCCTCACCTCCTTCCCCAGCTTACACCACCAGTTGGAGATTTATTTTCGCCCAAGAAGATGAGTTGGAGATGGTATTATAATCTATCCAATTGAGCTAATTAACAGTTATGTCAAATTGTAAACTCTTGTAGCTAATTAACTTAAATTAGCCATTATTTTCCAAGGTATTGTGTTTTGTGTTAATTGGCTCAATATTTATTTATATTAATTTTATATTAATAATTTTACATGTACGACTCTCACGGCCATATCTATACTCTACATGAACATAAATGTGTTTTGGGTTCCTTGTTACAGCAAGGGGGGCCAGTAAAGTAGACTAACATGTTTGCATGGCAAATTTTGATCGAATATGTGAGACACTTTAATTGTTATTGAGACCCGGGTTTTGCAAATGAACTGGACCAGGGAGCTGCCATTTCAACCGTAAAGTGGTTCTTTACGACATTGTTATGACGTCATTGATGCCAGATTGATGCCTTGGCATTCCAAAAGTTGTGGCGCCATTTTTGAATCAAAAAATGAATGCCGAGTTGTTGCCATTCCAAAACCGAAGAAATCATTTCAAATGAACTAAAAGAATACGTATATACCACATATAATAAATAACGATCTCAATAGAATATTAACGCCGGCATTTTCGGAATTGCTTTTTACCTATCTAGACATGGAATACAGGTTAGATTTATTCTTTATTTACACTTGAAACAATCTGGGATTTGTGACTTTTTAACTTTTATTAGGTCTAGTGCTAAATGCGAACAGGCGAATGCAAACTATTTGAATAAAACATAATAAAATTAATTCAACCAACCCATCTTGAATTTCCAAGAATGCAATGGTTTAATTTGCTAGTCTCATTACAAAAATACGTGTTCGTACTTTAATATTCATTGCATTTATGTTTATCTTTAAGGTCTCATGGAAGTTAACAGGAAATGACAAAACAAAAAATGACAAAGCCATGCTGGATTTTGAAAATTTTTTGAACCAAGATAACAGAGTTCTGTTTGGACCTCCAGTCAGTTTAACTAGTTCCACATATCATTTACATGACCGGGAACACAGTTGAAATGGTCAGAATGACCATAAACATGATAGAATAACCTTTTCAGCCCTCTGAAAATGTGACTAAAAAATAGCTAAGAGTAGGTGCTCAGGAAAGGTCACTGAACAGAATATTTTGACTTTTTCAGAAAATGTGCCCAATATATTGCTCTAAATGATACAATTCAAAAAAATTTGATATCATTCTTAGAAAAAGAAAAAATTGAAAAAAACTGAATTGAAAATCGATCTATTTTCCTTTTTACTACAGCCATTATTGTTTCAGACGATTTTTTAAAATTTCAAAGATTGTGTCATTTAGAGCAATATATTGGACACATTTTCTGAAAAAATCAAAAGATTCTGTTCATTGACCTTTCCTGAGCACCTACTTTTAGCTATTTTTCAGTCACATTTTCAGAGGGCTAAAAAGGTTATTTTATCATGTTTATGGTCATTCTGACCATTTCAATTGTGTTCCTGGTCATGTAAATGATATCTGGAACTAGTTAAACTGACTGGAGGTCCAAACAGAACTCTGTTATCTTGGTTCAAAAAATTTTCAAAATCCAGCATGGCTTTGTCATTTTTTGTTTTGTCATTTCCTGTTAACTTCCATGAGACCTTAACACAGGTATTCAAAGAAATTAAAATTTTAAAATTAAATTTTAAAACCGTATTCAATTACTATCATAGATTCTTAGCCTCGCGTCACATTTTTACGGGGACTGTACGGTCTATCATTTCTGTGGTAAGTAGGATTTCTATGGTTGCCTAAGTATTTCTGCAGTCCGATAATTTAGCAGTCACATTTGCTAAGATAGCCGTATGGCGTATCTTGATTATGAGGAAAAACTACGATTCCCGTACGGCTGATAAATGATGACGCACGATCAGCGTAGGGCGGCCCTATGACGTGCGTAGTTTTTCTTGAAGGCATCCACAAGGAGTTCTACGGTTCGGAAAGGTCAATTGTAACCTATGAAATCCAAGCGCAGCCGCAAGTCGACCGTGAACCCGACGTACGGTCGTCGTGAGACCTACGGTTCGGCTGCTGCTTGTTGATATCTATAGTGACCACAGGAAAGAAAAAGTTTTAACTCCGACTCTACGCCTTGTAAAAACTGGATATGTCGTGTACGTAGACAGCAAGGTGACCTTAAGTCGACTGTAGTTTTCCTATGTTTGCCGCAGAAATTTACTGATATATTTCAGGGAAATACGATCGACGTGTGGTCGCATTGAACAAATGTGACTGAAGCTTTTAAAGTTCCACTTATTTTCCAATATAGAAAAAAAGGTTGTATGCCATTAAATTGAAAATCATTTCGAAAATACTGTAGAACTGTACTTACCACGGATGTTATATTATCAAATTCGAGCTCGAAAAAATCAGGAATTGTTTTTAACAAAAAATAAATATATAACTATTGGCGTACCATCAATACGGCAATTGCCTTATCATTGTTGAAATGAAATATCATACTACAATCGACCCCATCGTCTCCCCGCATCACTGAATGTTATGAGGGCGGCTTCTCTTGTCATGATCCAAGGTGAAATGCCATTGAATTTTGAAAAGCTTTTTTGTCATATCGAATGTTGCTACGGTGATATGATGATTGAAATTGGTCGTTTAATTACTGAGAAAAATTAAACATTACGTATTATTCTTTGAAAATATGACAGTGGCATGTCCTTGTAAAGCTATTGCGTATGCAAATCTTAATATTTAGGAGATTGACATTTACATACGTATCATTTAGACGACATCGATTTTTCGTTTTTTTTGTTTGCGTTTTTCATCAGAATTTAAATGGCCAAACGCTTTAGGGAGTTACTGTTTCATTGGATTACTCCTTTTTGTTTTATTTCTTTCATTCTCCAACATGCACCTATTCAATGTATTCATGCACCTATACATATTTGAATAGAATACTACAGATTGAAGAAATCTACCATTTATGATTAGGTAAGAAAGCAATTGCGGCAGTATGCCTATTTGCCGACGTATACCTTAAGGTTAATAATGATGTGCCGTAAATGCTCATCAGCGCATTAATGAACATTAGCATAGATTTTGATATTTTAAATGGTATGTTGTGTATTTACATAAATATGGTAAATGCAACTATTCGTTGGATGCGTTCAGCACTTACTTATCAACTTACTTATTTTCACCACAAATACGCCAACACATTAGCCACGTTAATCTTAGTTAAATAAATCCCCATGCATTGATGCACAGTAATGCATTTTGTAAATGCCATTTTGTATATTTTAATGCATTGGTTAAATATACAAGAAAGCATTTACAGGATTTGAACAGATTTATCCTTTTTCACCCAGTGTTATCATAATATAAAATAATTCTAGTGGATATTTTTCAAGAGGAATATAATGCGATGACTTCCGATTCGCGCAGCCGATATCTCATAAGTTTAGTGATTTTTCTACCTAGCCTATACTATATCACATTGGAGAAAACAAATACAAACATTTGAAAAAATACCTTGCAACAATTCAATTTCTATGAAGAATATATTGAAAAAGCTTTTCCAAATATATGATATGATATGGACATGAACATGCGGCAACAATGTTAAGCGGACAGAAATCACAGATCCGGATCCAGATCTAGCCCCTATTGGTAGTAGGCTCAAACGATAAATTTTCCGAAGATCTCGTGTCTTGTCCTTGAGTATATTTATTGAGCCTAGACACAGAGGAGCTTATCTGGCAGAGGTCCGTGACAGAAATAGTTATAAAATATCAGTGAAATGTGTTCTATTTCTGCGATCCGAGTATGACGTGATTATATAGCGACATTTCCCAGGCATCAATTTTAAGGCATCAATGACGTCATTGATACATAACAATGGCGGCATCCTCAGCGATCCCGATATGGGTACTTTGAACTTGAATTATATGTTAGTTCAAACACGATATGTCCAATGAGTGAGCTGAAGTGATAGATGATGGTTATAAGTAGCCAACGTGTAAATTAGAACATGAAACTTCGCATTCCCTTTAACACAACTTATTTTATAAATATACACTCTTCTGTAAAACTGAACATTTTGTTGAGGCCTGTTGAGGTTAGACGAGACCAAAAGCATTATTTTTTGTTCAATCATATACTCCAGTCTATGAGAACTGTACATCACAACCACTCTAAGATGTAACAACCAGCTGACATGAGAGAAACATTTTATAATTCTTTGAAATGTAAAAATGTCAAAGGATAATAAATGAGAAAACATAATTCCCATGAATACCAAATATCTACCAGATATATGTATTTGAGGAGTGATCTAAAGGTTCTCATAATATCTCTATATAAATACAGGGTGGGCCAATAAAAACTGGAACATTATGCTATTTATTCAATTCTCTTTATTATTGCAGTTCAGTCCACCAAAATTCAGATAATGGTGAAATGATTATTTGTGATCTGTATACTGCATGTGTCATGAATAATTTCCAAATTTTCTTCGCTCACATATTTTTATCTTTAACATTTTCACAAATAATCATTTCACCATTATCTGAATTTTGGTAGTCTGAATTGCAATAATAAAAAAAAATTGAATAAATAGAATAATGTACTAATTTTTATTGGCCCACCCTGTATTATAAGAACTTTCTGATCACCCCTCGTATAAGGACACAAAAAAGAAGAGAACTCACCGCCACATCCATGTAAATGCTTGTCCATATTGAGTAATTGTAACGTGAGTAGACCAGTGGTCTTGCAAGTACATGTATATAATCCTGCACATGTTCCTGTACATCTGCCAATGTGGCAATGCGAGAGAAATTACCTGTAAAATAATGAATACAATGTTGTGTATGGGTAAGACCTGGGGAGAGGGGGGGTCAAAGCCTGAGGGTAGGAACCTGGGAGGTAAGGGGCTGGGGTAAAGCCTAGCCTGGCATTTATTACAGACGCTGACCGCCATTTGCTACAGACGCCGACCTCTGAACACAATCCACAAAAAAAGATTGAAACTATTCCTTCAGTAATGTACATGTACATACTAAATAAAGTATAATTCTTGCTCTTTTGAAAAAAACACATTGTAATATATTTTCAATGAACACATTTGATGAATTCACTGATATACTCTGTTATGAGTATCCAGTGTCGACCCTTTTAATTAATATTGGAAAATTTAGTAAATAAAATTAATAAATAAAATTACCTTTGTTTGCACAAGCTGTCCATTCCACATTTTTGGGATCTGTAATATCTCTCCCAATTAAGTATGTAAATACTCTCACCTAAAAAAGGGTAGGTTATGAGGTTCTTTTTTCAATAAAACTTGATAGAGACAATGTAGTAAACTTGAAACTGAGCACATTTAACATTGATGAGCACTTTGTGCATGCATTTTGCCTTTTCTAATCCCACCTATCTCTACCAGACTGAATATATGTAAGATGCCAATCTGGTACAATTATTTGAGGCATAACGAATATCATTGTAAAATTGCTGCTTTGAATATCATCCTGAAACCTCTAGTTTTTCAAATACATTGGAGCTTTATTTATCTCATTTCAGGAACAGTTGTAAAATTGATTCGTGCATTAACTTGCCCTAATTCTATTGAAATCCATGTGTTTCAAAAATTGATATATTGAAATAATAAAAAATGTGGACGGTTTTGTCCCACCTTTAATAAGATCCAATTTATTGTTACTATGGTAACCCAACTCTAGAGACTTGGCCCTAGGTTCAATAGTATTACAAGTGATCACTTTGATGTCAAGGTTAACATTCCACATAGATAAAAATCATATTTTTTGCCTCATATCTCATTATCCATTCATAAGGCTTGGTGAAAACATTGATTTTTGTGAAACTAATTAAACAATGGCTGAACATTAACCTAAATGTTCATTTTTCAGTATGAAACCTGGATTGCCCACCACCCTCTGCACTTGGCATTAATAATTTTACAAAATATGACACCTAATTTATAATTTTACAAAATATGACACCTAATTTATAATTTTACAAAATATGACACCTAATTTATTCACTTACATTTTTTTCTGGCCAATTATACTTTTCAAAGACAGCCTCATTTGTATCGGACATGCCATCAGTGATCAGCATAATTGCCTTGTTGCATTTAGCACTAGGCATGTCTTCTCCAGTATCATTCCGCAATAGAAGTTGGAATGCTTCTTCAAAACCAACTCTAAACGAGGCTATATCCTTTGTAGTGATGTTCCTGACCTTTTCCTGCATTCGCTAAAATATAAAACACAAAATATTTCAATCTGCTCTTTCTCTTGCAATCACATAAATATACAAGGCATTAACACGCACAAAGTCACCACCTTCCATTTGTTACAGACACAGACAGCCAAAATTCAACCATCACTTCTGGTGGTGACATAAAAACCCAAATATTGCATTCAACAAAATATATAACCAAAATATATAAATGTCAGCTAGTAAAAGGACTACTGTTTTGGAACAGATACAGTAAATTTTGTGTAAACTTAACTTTTTTACCTCAAAATTGTTTTAAACTTTAAGGTGTTCCACTTACAAAGGTTCATTTATCATTAAGTAAATAGATCACAGAACATTGAAAAGTTTTCCACTTACTGTGGTGTTCTATTTGACAGTTTTAATTTTAATCATGAATACTTTCCTCAGCCAAATATTGAGGAAAATAAATATAGTTAAAAAAAAATTATGTTTTTACCATTTTATTTTCAGCATTTGCCTGCACCAGTGTTCTGTTAAAGCAAGTATCCACATAAACTGCCTCCTTTGCAAACTAGAAAATATAGAACAAATTCAGTGATTTAGAAACAAAGAGAAATGTCCATTGTCATTATTATCTAACCTCTATAATCTATCATTAGACAGGCTGTCCAAATTACAGAATCAAATCTACATGTATTTAGATAAGATGCATCCATCAAATCATATTTTATGCTTCAATTGATTCAATACATCTACAGTAAAACCTGTATTATCTGAACTGCATTAGAACTGGCCAAAAGGGTTTGGATTTGCAGGTTTTACTGTACTCCGTATTGCAATGTTACGGTGCTTGTTTCATCCCTGGATTTCCATAATATGAAGTATTAAACTTCTAGAAATTATTCATAGCATGAAAGAAAGAAAGAACAAGATGAGCGAAAAATTAAATCCTAAAGATAATTTTTCTGATTTTCTCTGACTTCAAAAGGCATAAGATTAAAAAAAGAGTTACTGTAACTTACGTGTATAATATTAAAGTAATCATTATCACCCAGTGTTTCAAGGATTTTATTGACAGTTTTAATGGCGATCTCCATTCGCATGCCTGTCATACTTCCGCTTGTGTCTATCAGAATAACGATGTCTTTAGGAGTGGCAGCCGCTTGTATGTACCACCCTCTGTACCGACAATCAAACATATCAACACCCTTCTTCTCCCATTTAATGCCTTTAATAAATAAATGAAAATACATACAGGGAATTAACATGCAAAATGTCACCACCTGTCATTTGTTACAGATACCAAAATATGTTAGACACCACCTGTCCACAAAAAAGTGACTATAACAATACTTGTAGTGGTTACATAATTAAGCAACAATTGATAGATTTTAATTTTGGTCCTTCCAGCAAAAATGTTTGAAATTCTGCATTTACCATTTGTTGCGTAACATCAACGCACAACTTCTTGACTCAAATGTAAAGAAACCTTTGAAGAGAGCACAATTTATTTAACATTTTCACATCTCTTTCAACTGGCCATTTAACAACCAAGTTTATGTTTACTATCAGAAAATAACTTAGGTGAATAACACTCAGTATTATTTACCTGGAAAATTCCTGAAGAGACCATCCTTGCTCCCAAAGTACTGCCAAGTGAGAGTCTTGTCTTGATTCCAATTGGACTCAAACACTGGATCTAATGCTTTGGACCAGTCAGCTCCTAGCAATATCTCCCTTGCTGAAACACAATCACAACACAATCAATACATATTGTCAACTCAATCAATACATATTGTCAACTCAATCAATACATATTATCAACTCAATCAATACATATTATCAACTCAATCAATACATATTATCAACTCAATCAATACATATTATCAACTCAATCAATACATATTTTCAACTCAATCAATACATATTATCAACACAATCAATACATATTATCAACTCAATCGATACATATTATCAACTCAATCAATACATATTATCAACACAATCGATACATATTTTCAACTCAATCAATACATATTATCAACTCAATCAATACATATTTTCAACTCACTCAATACATATTATCAACTCAATCAATACATATTTTCAACTCAATCAATACATATTATCAACTCAATCAATACATATTATCAACTCAATCAATACATATTTTCAACTCAATCAATACATATTATCAACTCAATCAATACATATTATCAACTCAATCAATACATATTTTCAACTCAATCAATACATATTATCAACTCAATCAATACATATTATCAACTCAATCAATACATATTGTTAGTAATTCAATGTGAATACTCGCATCTGATTGGTCAATTGGCGGTCAACATTTTTGCCTGTACCCCACCTGTGCATCATGGGATATCATATTGACAGCATGTGTCACTGTACTACACTTGTGAATTATGGGAATATGACGTCATAATGTTTACAGAAAAAAACATGGCAGACTGACGTTTTGTAAACGTTGATGAATGTGATATTTTGACTTTACTAGACAAGGATAGCCAAAATAAGGATAAAAGCAGATGGACACTACCTGAGAACATTTGAAATAATCAAACAATATTTTCAAACCCATGATGGTTGTCATCTTCAGGTGTATTATTAGTTTCTTCTGACAAACAAAACAATTGTAGACCCCTGGATTGGATATATTACAACTACACACGGTGTTTACATGCAGATAGAATCAAATGTATTAGATGTTAATGTTTTGTCTCATGAAATAAATTGAAACAAAGGAAGGGGTACATGTATTTGTAAGGAATGAAGTAAGCAAGCATCAATTATAAAGAAATGTATGAAATATCAGAAAATTCACCTGAAATGATAAATAAGACACATAGCGATAAACATAGATGATAAACATAGATATACCAATATATAAATATAAATCAAGTGAAAATGAGAGGAATCAGCAAGGAATAAAGTAAACAGATGTGAAGTACACTAAAATTTATAGAAATGTGAGAAAATGAGTCACTTCATTAAAATTTTCCCAATAGATCACATAAACTAAACTTAAAATAATTATAGGCAGGTACTCACATCTATCATACACATTAGTGGGAACATGGATAGAGCTGTTTTGTTGGTTTATAGGGATTTGTTCAAAATACTCAGTTGAATTTAGTAGTAGGGGTGTTAACAGCTCATCTTCTTCAACATCAAGTTTTTCCACAGGCTCATTCAACTTCTTAGCATTGTAATACTGCACCTAAAATGATAAATAAAAGATGGATGTATCAAGAGATAGCAAATGAGATCAATATTTTTCTTATACAATAACAAAGATTTTGGGGTCATGCTAACTTATGGTAAAGATGTTAAGTTCGAGATTAGCCTTAAATCGTTTAATACGGCGCCAAGATACAGTTGTAAATGAAGTTTACAATGACATTTTGAATAAATTGCGTAAATCAAATCAACTGATTGTGTTATTGTTATTGATGGGGAAATGATTTCTAGCAATTTCATTGAACGATCAAGAGCAATTGAATGATTTTCTTCATGAAAGAGATGAATTACTCCAACATGCAATTAGACAGGAAGTCTCAAAAGATCATAGTTTATGTCATGAAATTTACAATTTGCTTCTTGGGGAGAACAATGCCAGACTGAAGAGTCAACTGAAGAGTCAACCTCTGAGACGAGAAAAAATAATTCCTATTTATTTAGAGAACTTAGCTGCATTAATGCATTAAATAGCATTTCTACATCGATTACGCCTCACATGTTACTGGACCTTCTTAAGAGACAATATGTTATGTTCCATTTTCCGAATTGATTGAGAATAAAAAGGATTTAATTATTTCAATTAATTCTAAAAAACAAGTAGAGACCTTTGGAGATTTTCAACTGAATATCTAAATACATCATTTACTAACAACCAAAGTATTTAAGGACAACTGAAATAGGTTTTCTCAACTTGCAGCTACAAAAATGTGATTTTCTTCATTGTAAGCCTAACGTAGAGTACTGCAATAGCCATTTTAAAAGAAATGTTAGATAACTGTTAATGGTCATAAATAACGTAATAAAATTAACTGATCAATCAGATTGGCCCCCACGTGATTAGAAACGTCATACATAATATATAGTTTTGGTTTATTGGTTCCTTTGGTAATCACAATGTCACAGCAACCATATGACTGTTTTATGATTTATGTAAACAAATAACAAAACATCTTGTCATTATGACTTTAATGGACCAAAACGGGCCACGTGGTGACCAGTGAGAGATCACATGGGGGCCAATAATGTCACAACCTATTTGAATATTGCTTATTAAGCAGCTATAACGATCGTTAGAGTGAAATAATTTCCACAATACTGATGAGAAAACATGTCCAAAAACATTTATCAAAAAATTATATTGATTCCTTTAGGTCAAAAATAGCATTTCATATCTGCTTTAATGTTGTCAAACTATCATCAAATTAACACATATGTACAAGGGTTGTACCAGAAGTCATGAAATTTTTGTTCCAACTTTATAGTAGAGTATAAAATCTTAGAACTGATCTTTTCAAACATCATGGCAATGTGTTTCTACAATGGCTGATTTAAAAAAGAACTGAGATATCTGGTCAATATAGAAGTTATTGAAGATTAAAGATGCAGAATGTCCTAATTCATTGGAATGGTTTGATACTATTGAAATTGAATTAGGACAGGAATGACATTAAAAAAAGATACATGTACCCGATACCAATAATGTTGAATCACCAATGTTGACAATTGGACAGTTGGAAATATATAAATGACAAACAGATTGACCAATAGATGGATGCCTAGTCTATCCCATATTCTGGTTGGGCAGTTGGATTATGATGGGTCATATTCAGATTGGGTAGGGCTAGATCTTTGGCCCTAAGAGTGAAGCGTGTTTCTCTTATATTCATAATAAAATTCTAATAAAAAGAATTGAGATAGCTGATCAAATGTGGAAGTTATCGAAGATTTAAGACATAGAAATATCCAAATTCATTAGAATTAATTGAAAAAGGAAATGTCCACTTTTCAATTATTTTCTTACTAGATTGTAAAAAATTGAAGTATTATCCTGAAATAATGTCAAACTGGTTGGTAATATCTTCCTTTTAGGTGGCTTTACATCATCAAATTAGTCACTGGCGCTTGCAAACAACTCAATCGACTAAATTCACTTGTGAGAATGACAAATGAAGACAAATGAAACTTCAGCTATTGAGGAGACTTAAGAAAGATGGGCTAAAATCTATTATACTATTGCATATACTTGCTTTTTAAACCACTGACATTCCAAGCACTTATTTTAAAACTATTTGAATGAATTTCCTATAAACAATATAAACTATTATCGTATGATCTGTAAAATGAAGCCTTCTGATTGGTCAGTTCTTGTGCTGTACCAAACTGTATTGCACTTGACTTTGTCTCCTTCCTATACGGAATTTCTCGAGCAGAATATATCCTGGATTGCACTCCAAATCATTCAATAGTTTATAATACATGTACAAGATGTATAGTTCAAATAAGGTAACATTTTAGAATCACATTTGTAGAGATAAGTTAGAGCATTCTAAATACAGGAAAACCTGCTAGAGGTGACCTGCTAAGTGTAACACCTCACAAGTCGAGCACATTTTCAAAGTCCCATTTTTGAAACCCATTGGCTTAATATAAATTGAACCTGTGAAAGTGGAACACCTCCAAACTTGAACATTGAACATACCATTATGAAAAATTAACCCCTGTAAGTTTGAAACTATTCATTCATTTAACTTGTGAATTAAAAAAAAGTACATGTACATTCTTTGAAGAGTCAACACTGTAGATCAACAATAGCTGATATGAGAAATCTGAGTCAGAGTTGACGTAATAACTGATTTGAGTGCACATTGAGAATGGAGGTCCTAATGGAGTCAGGCAAGTAACCACTTCTAGGTTCACAGAGCTATCTAATGGATATTGATTGCACTCATTATCTAAAAATGGATGATTTATCTTTGTAACAGCATACATCATGCGCCTTTGCTCCTATGGATGCAAAAGCTCCCTAAATCAGGATTTCAATGTGGGGTTATGTTTTCCTGACGAAGTGTTTTCTATGCCGTTGTTTTTAACCGATATCAAGATTCACATAATACAATATAACAGAATTGTCATATTTAAGGCCCCTGTATTGTATTGTATTTTGTTTACCACCAATGAAGGTGAGCAATACCACTTGTGTATATCCCATATATATACGGTCGTAAATTACGAAATTAACCTGGAAGATAGACCCAGAAACCCCTCCTTGAAGGAGCCCTGTGTTCTTTTATGTGCACTTATAAATAGACATACAAGTACACACCACAGCCTTTTGTACGAGTTGCGGACCACTCAGTCAAACACCCTGAAGTACTTCACGCGAACAATCAAATTTAGTCTTGCCTGAACCGGGGATCGAATCCAGGACCTATTACGTACATGCGCTACCGCTCAGCTACACGGGTGGACTATATAAACTGTAAATATCATGCCAAATATCCAAAATTCAGAAGAGCAAAAACGGAGGGTTACCAGACAATTCAATTTAACAAGACAACTCATCGCTAGACAACACAATGCAACTGCTAGACAACTCATCCCATGGTTTTTCATAAGCCTAATGTAGTTGAACAAGCAGGGACAGAAGTGAACAAACACCAAGTAATAAACAGACTGAAAATTCTATAGAAATCCAGGAATATCAGATACTTTATTCAAAGTTGTGAGAAATAATCATTATTGAAAAGGAATTTAAAGATTAGGCAGAAAATGGCAAAAATCGATAAAGTTGCAAGGAACATCAAACGAGGGAGTACTTTAGATGTGCCCATGAGAGACATTGGGAAGTATCAGTATGTGTTTTTATTAAGTTAGATAAATACATTATATTATCCCAGTGGCTATATATGCATTTATAAAACATCAATTTTATTTCTCAGAGTGATGCAAGTACAATTTTTTATTTCTTGAAGTAATACAAGTACAAAGTTTTATTTTTCAAAGTGATGCAAGTAAAATATATTATTTCTTGAAGTGATACAAGTACAAAGTTTTATTTTTCAAAGTGATGCAAGTAAAAAATATTTTATTTCTTGAAGTGATACAAGTACAAAGTCTTCTTTTTTTACAGTTATGCAAGTACAATTTTTTATTCCTTGAAGTGATGCAAGTACAAAGTTTTATTTCTGAAGTGATGCAAGTACAATGAATTATTTCTTTAAGTGATACAAGTGCAAAGTTTTATCTTTAGAGTGATGCAACTGCAATGATTTAATCTTTAGAGTGATGCAAGTATAATATATTATTTCTCAGGCTGATTGCTCCTGCTTCAAAACATTGCTCATATTTTTCTTTCTTATTAATAATAAGTTACTCTTTTCATTTTTTCAACTGTAAACTCAGTATATACACATAAGCATGTGTCTACTGTTAAAATCTTTATTATGTAATTGAATTAATTGGAAAAAAAAAGAAATAAAGAAGTTCAAAGCTTTATTTTTCAAAGTGATACAAGTACAAAGTTTTATTTTTTAAAGTTTACAAGTATACTATATTATTTCTTGAAGTCATACAAGTACAAAGTTTTATTTTCTAGAGTGATACAAGTATAATATATTATTTCTCAGAGTGATGCAAGTACGATTCAGATATACATAAATAATGGTTAAATCATTTCTGGATATCACGCGATCGAGGCAAGCAATATGAGAATGATCACAATATAAATGTATCTATGACTCAGTCGGGATACATTCTATTTATACAACAAACACAGAGCAACAGTGTAACATTTATTCAATGCTAATTTATTGGCCTTTTGTGTATTCAAACTATAGTTCTAGACATTGTATAGTTGCGACGAGTTTCACTTATCATACAAGCTACCTATTTCAATTATAAGAAACTCTTGTTTATACACTCCTTTTCTTATCTCTAATGATGAAACGATCAATTTTATTCAATGGCATTTCTACATAATTTTGAGCAAGATGTCATGATTGTTTATTTTACTTATTGCTTATCGAATTTGTTTTGCATTGATGTTCAAAAACTAGCATAGCATTTCAGTTACAGGATTCTACTTTTGGGATTTGAATCTGCAAACAAATTAGAAATATTGTTATTTTATTACTCAAAGTAAGGGGTGAATAAAAAATTAGGAATGGAGTGAATAAATAAAATTATGAGCTGTACTTTCCCTAGATTACATTCTGCAAACTGCATAATAATCAAGATCCCAGTGGCATTTATTGAAAATTGACTCTTATAATAGCATTTCATCTTTTTTGATAGAAATATGGGTTTTATTATTCATAATTACAGAGAATAGAAGAAAGGGTACAACCATATTTAAATGACGAATATAATACATGTTTTTGATTGTTTGCATTCATTCGTTGGTGCTTGATTTGTATAATAACAACTTAAGAAATTAAATGTTGTACGCTCAATTTTACTTATACTTCAAAACGGAGTTAAATTTATTTTATTTATTTATTGATTTCTCAATTCACCCCTTATAGGGTATAAGAGTACACAAGACACACTTAACTAATACAGTAACAAACATTAAAATAACATTTATATATGTACATTTTTTGCCAAGCCTCGATTAAAAATTTACAAAGTTTTATTAGCATATTTTTGTTCTCAAACTTTTGTGTGTTTGGTCTTGTGGAACAACATTTATGAAGGAAAGAATGTAATGTACAAGTCATATATTGAACAAAATTGTTTGTTCAATTGATATCATCCCTGATATCATCCGTCTATTTCCTGATATCATCCCTGCCCCAAATATGTGATTTATCACTTGCTATTATATACCTGATATTGCTCTATATATATATATATCTTTAATTGACTTTTAAACATGTCAGTTTCTCCGACATATGGTTAACTGTACAGTTTTTTACATCCTCTGACCATGGTATAAATGGTAATATGAAAATTGAACCATTAAAACAAATGAATTGTCTAATACCTTGCCATGTTATCTACCCCGAATTAGCCACCTGGTGGTGAAACTGGTAACTACCTACTCACATCTGGGTTATTGATAAAATCTATTCTGGTCAAGCTGAGTTTTTGGAAAATGTTCTAACTTTTCACTATTATTATTGCTACAGTTATTCACTATTTCTTATATCCGAAGTAAATCATTTGGATCAGAGCAATTCTTTGATTGGATCCATGGACTTTTTTAAAATAACTGAATGATAGAATGAATAAACAATTTCGAACCAAATCACTATTGATCTAAAGGCTGGACCATTACATCTTGGGGAAGGCAGATGAAAAAACGAACTTAGCCATCTTAAATGGCCTATTATCCTGGGGTCTATTTCTCGAAAAATGAGTAAGTTTGAAAAAAACACATATTTTATTTCTCGAAAGTTTGTATCTTTTAGTTAGGTTTACGAAAAATGAGCTATGTGACATCATTCTATTCCCATATTCGCAGTTCCAACAAAACTATATAAATGTGAGAACATCTAGCATGTGATTGAATATAGTCCATAATGTTTTGTTTTCTATGGTATACCACTGATAATGTATTCAAATGAATATACATGTAAAACCAAAATGAATTTCCTGTATACTTGAACTATCTGTGATGTATAACTACTGTAAAAACGAAAGTGTAAAGGAAGACTTAATAAAGACTTACAAGACCTCCAGAGGTGAACATAAAGTTACGAAATAAAAATCGCTCATGACATCATTATTTAGTAATGTTGCGAAAAAGTTACTAATTTTAGCAAAGTTACTCAATTTAGAGATTTGCAAGTTGTAAGTAAATTCTACAAACAACAATTATATATTAATATGCTCTTATTTATACTTATTTATTCATTTGAGCTATTATTAAATTCAATTTATGTTTAATCAAGCAGTAATCAGTATATACACCTATATAAGGTGTCCACTTTAAATAATTTGTAATTTGATTTATTTTTTTATGAAGGAAATGAGAAATAAATTTGAAAAAAATAATACTAGCCTAGGGAAATCACTTTATCAACTGCCAGATTCCCAATCATCTTAAACATGTCAATTTTAGTTGATTTCATGACAAAACTTATATTTAACTGTACGATTATAAATCAATTTAGTGTTGATTTTAGGGATGAACCCCCCAAGTAGCTGATCGGTTAAAAAGGTCTCCATGGGTATTTTGAACTGAACTGGATTAGGACTTATTCATGTATCCGTCAGAAAAAGTATTACGTGAATGGAATATTGAATCTGGCCAATGGCTCCCTTTAAATAATTCAATACACAGCAAAAACTGCCTTACAAATATCCTATATGAGGTCAATCTGAATCACTATGTTCCAGAAAATGACTGAAACAGGAGTAAAAAAGATGAAGTATCCAATGGTTCCTCTATTATTAATGTGATAAATAAAAATCTCACAAGTACACAGTGCCATTAGGGAAATTGGAAATACATCTGAGTCATCCGATCTTAAAGTACTTTAGTGTGGGCAGCAGAAATTACAGTTTCTCAATAGCATGAACAATCTGGGTCTTAATGCAACCCGATCTTTTGAGTTTAAGACTGCAGAGGGTGCCAACATGGCAGCACAGTCCCAGTTCTGAGTATTTTGATTCATAATATACACTTCTAAATGATGTTCTTTGAAGTATAATGAAAAATTCAATTGGCGAATACATACATGTATTATGTGAGAGAATTCAATTAGCCCATACTTATCATAGTGCGAGTTTTCAATTGGAGCATACTTATCATAAAGAGAGTATTCAAATGGCCCATTCTTATCATAAAGAGAGTATTCAAATGCCCCATACTTATCATAATGAGAGTATTCAATTGGCAAATACTTATCATAATGAGAGTATTCAATTGGTGCATACTTATCATAATGCGAGTATTCAATTGGCGCATACTTATCATAAAGAGAGTATTCAATTGGCCCATACTTATCATAATGAGAGTATTCAATTGGCACATACTTATCATAAAAACAGTATTCAATTGGCCCATACTTATCATGATGAGAGTATTCATTTGGTGCATACTTTATATGATGAGTATTCAATTATATAATGAGTATTCAATTGCTGGTGCATATCTAATAGTGAGAGTATTCAGTGGTTTGTAGACTGTAGTTGACATTTCCAATTGTATAAAAATGCCATTGAATTACCAGGAAACCCTGGGGCTATGGCTTTGATGTTGATCAAATATTTATTGCCTCATTATTATTATTATGGTATTCCTGTGGAAATTTATATAAGAGATAAATATCTCAGATGACTTTTTTGCATAACATCTTCTAAGGCTTCTGATCAAAGAATTATTTCTTATTGAAAAAGCATTAATGAAGCTCTATTTAAGATATTCTCTTTTGAGAAATGAAGAGGAATAAGTATTTTAACAGACGGACAATTCAATCAGGTCTTATCTCATTGCTGGCGTTCGACAAGGCTCTATTCTTGGACCACTACTCTTCCTGATTTATATAAATGATCTCCCTGAAACCTTATCAAGCAAATGCTACATTTATGCAGATGACACATCTCTATACCAACCATATTCCAAATCAAATCTCATTGAAAGTAACACAATTTTACAATCTGATCTTAATTCAATTTTCCAATGGTCCAAGACATGGAAAATGAACTTCAAGGCCTCTAAAAGCAAAGACATAATTTTCTCAAACCCAAGGAAATGTGAATATAACGTTCCTGACCTCAAAATTGGTAATGATGTTCTACCTCGAGTTGATCATCATAAACATTTAGGCCTCATACTAGACAAACACCTAACTTTTGACCAACACATCACAGAGCTCACCAAGAGGATTGATAAACTATTAAACCCACTTAAATCTCTAAGCAACAAATTAAATGGAAAACACCTCATACTTCCAATTTTCGACTATTGCGATATTCTTTATGGTTGTGCAAATATAAGTAAATTAAAATCCATTGATCAATTATACTACAAAGCAGCCTGCATTTGCTCAGGTGTACTACATGGAACATCTTCAACAAAAGTCCTTAACTGCTTAAATTGGCCAAAGCTATCTGATAGAAGACAAATGCATAGACTTTTCCTAATGTACCGAGCTTACAACAATAAACTTCCATCCTACGTTTTGAGTATTTTTAATCAATATCGTAGAAATCTTCCATCAATAACACGAAGAAGCCGTGACTACCAAATTCCAATCAAAACCTCAACATTTTCAAATAGATCATGCATATTTAAATCCATCATTGACTGGGAGTCTCTCCCACCCGAAACTAAAGAATCACCAAATCTTAATATTTTTAAATCGAATGTAAAGAAAAAATTAATGACTACTTATATCATTAATTCCTCAGAGATCTCCTTGACAAGGAGCCAAGAAATTTCTCTGAACAAGATGCGCTGTGATCTGATCTTCCAGTCCCATTTTTACGCCCACAATTTTACTAATGTACCATCCCCTACATGCAAATGTGGGTATAGCAATGAAACATCCATTCATGTCATGTTCTCTTGTAACCTTAGATCACAATATCTAAAAGATTTAGAGGATGCACTTACTCTTCTAAATTTTAATTACCCAGCATTTAAAAACCAGCAAGACAAATTATCATTGTTTTTGTATGGAGACAGAAGTCTGCCAAAAGAAGTTAATATTGAAATTTTAAGGCTCACCTCAGCTTTTATTCAAAGGTGTGCAAGCGTGTAAGTATTTCTTCCACCACCAACTGTATAATTTTGTACACAATAATTATTTTGTTTATTGCAAATCCATTGTCATACTTTCTTTTTAAATCTTGTTATTATTCCATTGTGGCTTATAATGCTCCATTGCAAAGCCGCAACATGTGTATGTAATAATTCTATTTTACTATGAAATAAATCACATATAAAAAAAAAAAAAAAAAAAAAAAATCTCATTAATATTTTTCATGAAAGTATGATTCAATCAGGTCTTACCTGGTCAATATTTTCAGGCTCATCATATTTCTGATAGGCCTTCTCAGCTGCATCCTTTAATGTCTGAAAATATATGAGCAAAGATGTCAACATTAATGTCTAAAAATGATATGAGCTCTTATGGAGTTATCAAAATAACTTAGAGAACCTAAATTGCCATGAGACAAAACACTTTAAAAAACTATTAATGAATCTGTTGAAAGCCCATGGAATAAGTAAACATTAATGATCCTAAATGATCCATTAATGATCCATTAATGATCCTAAAGAACAAAATCTGGAAGCTGTATAGATAGTGGCTCAAGATAAGAGTTACAGGGCATTTGAAATTATAGAATACCTAACAAGGTATGTCAATGAAGCAATAATCTCAAATCATGATTTAGCAGAGAACTGAAGTTCCAAGGGGGCTATCTATATTGCTACGGATGAATCACCAAACCAGGCGTAATTCTCTGGATGATTTTGAAGCATCAAAAAAATTTTACAATTGCTGGGAATTGTCAATTTATAAGTGACAACAATTTAAGAATCCAATTCATATTTTAGGGTACCATAAATGACAAAATTATAAAAGATATTGACCATTTTGTACTCGTAACATTTTCATTGAGACACTCTGTATCTAAGAGCCATGTTTGACAAATTAATCTAAACTTTTAATCTACCAAGGATCGTAGTTAATATATTTTTGTTGCCGCATTATGTTCTCTTAAGAGTTCACCATAACCTCTTTACATTGAATATCTTTAAAAATAAACACTTTCTCGGGAACATGATTTATTTCCACGCATTGAACTAAATGTAATCAAGTGATGATAATAGATGAGTTTTTCCTTTTATCTAAATTGCAATAAGAATTAGAAAGATGTTCTAGAATTTTTGCACTCCTGACAAAAGGTGTTTTGTCCTACCACCTACAAGTTTATATTCGTGATTATAAAAATGGCTCATATGCTTTTAAAGTATATTCTAAATGCACATATTGTAGGCTATAAATTAATCTTGCATGAGGTTCTTTTTTGTTTCCCTCTTTTTTTAAATATATAGGGGAGGGGCCAAATAGGCATTTGAGAGAGAGGGCAAAAGACATTTTCGAAAAAGGGCAAATTCACATTCTTGGAGGGTAAATAGGAATTTAGGAAGGGAATGCAAATAGAATTTAGTATGGGACAGAGGGCAGATGCATTTAGGGGAGGGCAAATAGGTACTACCTTATCTATCTAAATCATTTTGAACGATTTCCAAATCACTGATATAGCACACCATTTATAAAATGTGGAGACAAAATCAAACTTATAGACTATCATATGACATGTTGTTATTAAGGGAAATTCATCATTATATAAAATGATGCTCAGAAACATCAATATTTTGGTCTGTTTTGCTCTCACCCTATAATCATTCATCCTTATGTGACAAATTAGAATTCTGTATTACATAACATTTTCTGACAAGAAATTGGAATTGCAAATCAAAGGACCATGAGTTCAAGTCCCAAATGAATTATGTGACTTTTCCATATAAGTTAATTGCAGAATTCTGTATTTCCAAATGTCAAATATGATTTCTTCTTGGTAAAGGCCATTCTTAAAAGTACTGGTCCCTTTTAGATCTCGCTTGGTATTCATATATCCTTCTCTGACAAATTAGAATTTCTTATCACATGCTGTTTTCTGAAAGAAATTGCAATTGCAAATAGATTTGTTATTCATTGCGCAAATTGCAATAAATTCCAAATTGAAAATTTCGATCTATCCTTAGAAATTGCCATTGTTATATATTTGTATCAGAATCTTGATTATATCTTGCGTTATAAATGGAACTTCAATTGAGCAAAAGTCATCCTGATCTTTCATCGCGGTTTGGTGATCGAGAGGATTTCAAGCAACATTAAAAGACATAACACGCCGACTGACTCCGAAAAAATATTTCCAAATTACAAGGCAACTGGGTGTGCCGTATAAGCATCAACCCAGAGGGCTCTGATAGGCTTGTAAATCTTAATCTGTAATCTTCTAGTATTGTACAATGTACATACTATATACACGTACTAGATAATTAATAAAACTATGAGATTTCATTTCAATTGTACATTTGAAATCGATACAATATATAATGTACCTTGCAATGTAATCAGTAATTGGATGAATTGAATAAAATACTTGTTTCCATTTGTTTTGTAAGAGAGTTGTTCAATTTAGTTTTGGGATCACTCCCAAGGGAGGCAAGTTCCCATTAAGCAGTAAATTAGACTGGCCATTTAGACTGGAGATTTTGTTATACAGACCTTTAATGCATCAAACCTCATTTAGGTCTCAGTTAACTCAAAGTTTCTTGAAAGGAATACTAAAAGGTAGTTATGGAAGCGCAGCATTGAAGGAATCCTTGGAGTATTGCAGTTCAAAAATATTTAGGCTTTTCACATTTTGACCATTTCTTGTGACAAGACTTCCAATAGACATTCATGTTACTAACCAAACATACAAAAAACAAACAAACAAACAAACATACAAACAAACAAACAAAGAAACAAACAAGAGACTGGTCAAACGGAACAAATCTTGCCTCAATGCTCTGCCCTTCTCAACCTGCCTTATTTCCCAACCTATGCTACAGATAGCGTGGGGGAAAAAGGATTTAATACAGACTTCGGTAGTCTAGAAAAAGAGGTATTCAGAACATTGTACTAGGCGTGACAAGACTGTCGACTAAGACCTTATAAAGTTATTACTATTGATCAGCAATATCAAATCCTCTTCACTATATTGAAAACTTCAAACTATTGACAGGTCTAGCCTCTTATCTTCACCATTAATGCCAAAAAGATGAATTCACTAAATCAGACAGAAAATATGCTTAATAACCTCCATCTTGACTTGTTCAAAGTCTATTCAGTATCTGTAGCAAACGCTTCAAATTCTGACATCCAAAGTCCGCAAGCGTCATCATTTATGCCAAAAATGAATCAACCGATCAGAAAATAATTATTGGAACCCTCTAATCTATATTTGCTTCATGTTCCATGTCATATTAAAGCTAAATTTGACTTGAATAAGAAATTATTTCAACAGAATTTAATGAAAAACTAATGGGATAGGATGATGATTTGTGAAAAGTTCCAGAAAATATTGACATCTGTATGGAAAAATGGAATCGGTTTAAAATGTTTATAAAATAACTCTGTTCAGTTCGAGAAAAAGAAAATGTAAACAAATAAAAAAGGGTTATGTACTGGCAGGTTTTGGATATGGACTTTATTCAGAGGAATATATGCATCTACCTGAGGGACGGTAGTGCTTTATCCTATACCCAGTGGAGTTTTCTAATTTTTTTCAAATCTTTTTTCGAAATTTTTTTGTCAAAGCGGGAATATATGCCATGGAGCTGGAGATATGGCGGGAGATATGGAGGTTCTGGATACGGAAACCTCAAAATCAGGATATGGGATATATCTTACCAACTTATCTCCCTAAAACTCTACTTGGCATAGGATAAATAATTTTACATACCTGTACAGCTTTAATCTTTTTATCCATCAAATCCTGCATTTGTTTTTTCATGAAGTCTCTTAATTTGCGCCCATCTCTTTTGTGTACTTTTCCTCGATTTGTGTACTCCTGCAATAGAATCAGAAGGGGTCAGTCCCAGGGGGTCAGTAAGCATTCAAGTGCAAACATTCTATTTTAAGATGGGAGATCAGAGGGTTGGTACATATGAGAAAAGACTTGATCTGCAAGGAGTGAACTTTGAAATCCTAATGAGGAAAACCAGAACAACATAACAATTCTGGAAATGGTTAATCAACATGTGATAAGTGACTCAAGATATGTAAGAGAATTGGGTATGAAAAACGTATCTTTATCCAATTTTGCATTTTATGTTGAAATATCAAAATCAAATTATAAAAGTCATAGAAAAGCTTTATATAAACTACCAAGGTCCATATATGAAGATTGACAAAATATTTTTATATCTACTCATTTAGGTATGAAAGTTTAGAAAGGCAAGACAATGAAATAATGAGTCAAAAAGTGCTAAGAATTGAGATAATTTATGACAAAATTGCTCTATGTCTAGATCTTTAATTGCATAATTCTGTATGAATATCAGTATACTCGTATATATATATGAAAGATTGTATTTTGTATTGTCCAGTAAAACCTGTCTTAGTGGAAAACCTATGGTACCTCTGAAAAGTGTTCTACTTTGGAGGTGTTCTACTTATAGAGTTTTACTTAGCATTAATTCAGTTGGCCTTGGGACTCTGAAAAGTGATCCACTAACACAGGAGTTCCACTTCTAGAGGTATTCCACTGTACACGTTTCATTGTATATCTACTCTAAAGTGAACATGTTTCTTTTGTAACTCATACTCTCTCGTCCTCTCTCTGTTCAATCTAGCAGCAAAGAGCCATGATTCGAAAAACAAGTCTGACATGTAATCATCTCTCATTGTAAACTCTGAGCTGATCCCAGCAGGTTTACTGAATATTCATTTGTCAATATGAAACATCCCTAATATCAATTGATACCTGTCTCTTAGGGATTTTCCACTCTAAGATAGATCTCTAAAGACGTTTATCATTCTGATGTTCCCACGCATCTTTCTATTCATACGCAATGGATGTTGAATTCTAACTTGCAATGTCACGATTATTGTCATGATGCTACAATGTCACGCAAGATTATCTCTGATTCAAAGATTATGGATAATGGCTCTTTTTAAAGAGATGGAATCACACTATTGGAAATCCACTTTTGAGCAGAACTTGTACTCTCTCATAGGCCATATTGTATGTATGAAGAGATCAGCCCAAGCAAACAGTATATATATATATGAGTTATCAACTGGACGAATGGACAGATAGATGGATGCTGGACAGATGGAGGTCTTCTCCCTTTAACTTTGTTCAATGGAGAATCTGTATAACAAATACTGTTTCCACATTTCATGACAGAAACGCAACATGTTACAGTCTTATATACCTGTCCCTGAAGGTAAAGGCTAAAGTAAATGTCAATTAGAAACTAAAGGTCAATTTAATTTATTTAAACTCCCTTCTGCACATCATCAGAATATCATACACTGTTTTGTCTTCATCTTGGGAGGCAGTCGTATAATTTGGACTTTAATGAGCAAACCTTTTTTCTGGAAAAGGTTAAGGTTCTCCTTATGGTGAATCCTGTATATTTAAGTACACTCTCCAATATTACAGCAAGATTCCTTGCTTCCTTGTCAACTCAACCCCAAATCAACTTAACTCTTGGTCAAGTTGGTCAACACGACCTTTAATCAACTCAATAATGATTCTACCACAAAAAGAAAATTGTTCCAAAATTAGGGGGTTGCAATTTTCATAATATGTATGTAATATGTCACTTATAATATATATGTATTGGGGAATTCACTTGATTCCTGATTGGCATGTCGATGACTTTATTTTAGTGATGCAATCATGGAAATTTTTCGAATTGGGTAATCCATGTAATTATGAGCTAGTTAGATATCAAACAAGAGTTCACTAATCAAAATAGAACATTAGATAAAGGAAAATTATCATTGTTTCCTCAGCATACTCATTAATGTTTTTTTTTTGTTCTATTTGCATTGATATTATGGATGGATAATCTTTATTTATAACACTAGTTATTGCAAACCTTCAAGGTAAAAAGTAAAATGTTTGCTTTATATCCTACTGTCACAAGATCAGACCGTGAATGAGTTTACAGTATACATGCAGATTTGAATCGAAATATGTTTTCATTATGTGCTTCACCTTCTATGTTTCTGAACTTTTTTACAGAATAATTAAAGAAATAATTTACAGGAACAATCGGTATTTAACAAAGTATTTTATCAAAGGGAACCCTTGTCATATTATATTTGCTGCAAAACCACATATTAGTACATGAATATGATTTACATGATTCCCAGACTCATGAAATATTTCATGAAAAGCTTTCATCCCAGGTGAATCAATATCTATATCAGTATTTGCTGTAGGATCACTTCATTCAATGTTGCACAGAAGCTTTAAAATAGTATATAACTCACATCTTTGAGGACTTGATATTTGATGGCTTTATCGATGACTTTACTCCACAGAGTCTTTCCCAAGCTATCAGCCCAATTCGTCACACTGGAAAACAGTTTCGAAACATCATGAATAATTTTCAATAAATATACAGTTGCAATATAAAGGTAGTCATTCATTCAACTGGAAAATAGAAAAGGGAAGAATTAGAAAGAGTGATAAATAGGGTAAACTAGCATGTAGTCAATGGACAATAAGTGTCAACGGACATCTGGTCAACAGGCATGCAGTAAATAGGAATGTAGTCAACAGACATGAAGTCAACAGACATGTAGTTAACAGATGCATAAGTCAACAGACATAAAGTGAACCGACATCTGGTCAACAGACATGCAGTAAACAGGCATTTAGTAGACAGACATCTGGTCAACAGGCATACAGTAAACAGGAATGCAGTCAACAGACATCTGGTCAACAGACATGTAGTTAACAGACATGTAGTTAACAGATGCATAGTCAACAGACATAAAGTGAACCGACATCTGGTCAACAGACATGCAGTAAACAGGAATGTAGTCACGCAACAGACATAAAGTGAACCAACATCTGGTCAACAGACATGCAGTAAACAGACATTTAGTCGACAGACATCTGGTCAACAGACATAAAGTGAACCAACATCTGGTCAACAGACATGCAGTAAACAGGTATTTAGTCAACAGACATGAAGTCAACAGACATGTAGTTAACAGATGCATAGTCAACAGACATAAAGTGAACCAACATCTGGTCAACAGACATGCAGTAAACAGACATTTAGTCAACAGACATGAAGTCAACAGACATGTAGTCAACAGACATGTAGTTAACAGAATCATAGATGCATAGTGAACAGACATAAAGTGAACCGACATCTGGTCAACAGACATCTGGTCAACAGACATTTAGTCAACAGACATCTGGTCAACAGACGAGCAGTCAACAGACATGTAATTAACAAACATCTGGTCAACAGACATGTAGTTAAGAGACGAGCAGTCAACATCCAGCCTAAACTGCAGTGAAACTAAAGGCTAGAGTAAAATCCCACATATTATGTTCAAAATCAGACTATATTCATAGCCATAACCATAAAGATAACAACCTCATTTATATCTCCAAATGTGATCTACGATGAGAAAGCTTCGAGCATATTAATATCTGTTTTAATGGTTTTACTGATTTGGTTCTGGGAAATACAGTATAGGGAATGAATTTTTGTTACATCATTTTTAGTGCAACATTTTAGGATTTTTGTAAGTTATTTATATGAGGTATATTGATCTATATGTGGCAAATCTAGGAGTAAATAGAGGTGCGGAGCCCCTGATATTTTAATGTGGGGAGAGATATATAGTAAATATGTGTGTTTCCATGTATCAACAAATCACAAAATGAAGCTAAAAATAAAGAAGAAGATAAAAACAAAGACAAATAAGGATAAGAAACTAACTGAAAAATCAATCTCTCAATTTGTAGAAGTCATTTGAATGGTGAGAAACAAGGATTGCAGCCGCGAAATCTATAACTGAGTGATCTAATGAGGCTTATCGATATAACTCTCTCTGGGCTGTTACAATTAGTTCTACACATGATCATTATTGATTAGGGATTATTTCTCCGGAAAATGAATCTATGTGGTTCCAAATAGTTCTAAGATAACTTGACAGACAGTCTGAAATCAGCAGAATTCTGATTTACCACATCCTGTCGTATCTGTCGCTTGTGGCAAATAATACCAATAATGCCCACCCAAGGCCAACAATAACGCATATGTGAGTTGGTAGTTAGTTTCACCACCAGGTGGCTCGGTTGGGTCAGATAGCTTGGTGGCTATAGTAGAAAGTTCCCTTTAAAACTTTAATTACATCTGTTTTAGTGGTTCAATTTTCATATAAACCTTATGTAACAAGTAAAAAAAATGTTATCTGTCAAATACAAGGAAAGATATTTCACTTTTTGTGATTTTGTAACATGGAGTCTATATCAAGCCGAACTAGAAGACATATTTTCCCAAAAAAATTAAATTTTCAAACCTGATATATTCAAAACCATATATATATATTTACTTTTATATGTAGATTTCAAATATGACACCACTTTGACTGAATTTTGAATATTTAATGACGTAAATCAAGATTATTTCTACTCGCATCATGGGCATTGAAAGCCCATGCTCGAATCTAGTCTATTGAATACCCTCCCTGTCCTCATAAAATGTAAACTGTTGATTTGTCTTTCACTCATTTATTTCAAAAAATCAATTCTGTTATCTAAACAACCATTACACTATTTACCCCTCCCCCTAATGAAAATATGTTTGTACTTCTAAGACTATTGATAACTGGATACCATCCCTGAACATGTACCACATACAATATGGTGATAACTGGATACCATCCCTGAACATGTACCACATACAATATGGTGATAACTGGATACCATCCCTGAACATGTACCACATACAATATGATGATAACTGGATACCATCCCTGAACATGTACCACATACAATATGATGATAACTGGATACCATCCCTGAACATGTACCACATACAATATGATGATAACTGGATACCATCCCTGAACATGTACCACATACAATATGGTGATAACTGGATACCATCCCTGAACATGTACCACATACAATATGGTGATAACTGGATACCATCCCTGAACATGTACCACATACAATATGGTGATAACTGGATACCATCCCTGAACATGTACCACATACAATATGGTGATAACTGGATACCATCCCTGAACATGTACCACATACAATATGGTGATAACTGGATACCATCCCTGAACATGTACCACATACAATATGGTGATAACTGGATACCATCCCTGAACATGTACCACATACAATATGATGATAACTGGATACCATCCCTGAACATATACCACATACAATATGATGATAACTGGATACCATCCCTGAACATGTACCACATACAATATGATGATAACTGGATACCATCCCTGAACATGTACCACATACAATATGGTGATAAGTGCAAGATTGCAATAAACTACTCGTATTTTACTACTACGATATAATCTGATTACACGATATACAAGATCACAGAATACAAACATCCTGAAAATGGAGATGGAATGAAATACCCTTTGACAGCAAAAGGTAAACTGATGAGGAAATAAATTAGGCACTTCATCCAACACTTCAAAAACATTTCACATTGAACAAGTCTATTTCTAAGTACTTTATTTCTTTCCGATTTTCAGAACCATGTGAATTTCACCTCAAACTGTCACAGAGTGTTACACCTTAATTCCTAAAGTGTCTCACAGTGTTACACCTTATTTACTAAAGTGTCTCCAGTCATTATTTCTACTTGGGATGTTTCTGACAGGTAATTTTGCTTTTATGACGGGGTAGTTGTCTGCAAAGAATAATTGTTCTTCTGTTTTTGAACCATGATATGATTAGAATAGCTACAGAGAATAGCTAGCATTTGGTGCACAGGTGAAAAGAGTGCTGTCTATTCCATTCAGTTTTTTCAATGATTTGGCAGTTTTTGGCAAATTTAAGGATTGCCAAAGGCGCATTATCTTTTTTTCCAATAATTTGATTCTGATTCTCTAAAAGTGAGCTTCATCTACATTTTTGAGTTAATCCCTGTACACAGGTAGGCAAAATGCCTGAAATGGTTGAAAGGGGTTAAAAAGCATGGTTTAATATATATCATGTCATATCTATCTTTAAACTTGGGTATTGTTTTTGGCCCACCCTGTACTTTTCAGAGCCTAATGTCCTAGGCTCTAATACTCAGGGTAGCGGGACCTGTATGTATGTAGTCAATCAATGCTCACATGACTGTCAAAATGACATGTAGCAATATCACTTATGAACACTGCAACAAGACTATTGAAATCTGAAGCATGGGAGCCCATTCTGCCAAGAGTCTCTTCAAGCACCTGATGCCACCCTTGCATAAAATTACACCATGGTCAATATTTTTTGCAAAATAGAATAATAAGGATGGGATTAGATGATTGGCCTAAAGACAAACTTAAAATTCAGACCTGTGATATCATATTCAAATCCGTAATAGAATACAATAGATCCTTTTTCAAAGAAACGGGAAGAAAAACCAGTTTACATAATTTCCCAAGGAGGTCAACATATTCACACAGTGCTGATATACCACATTCACATTGATTTTTCATTATCTAGCAAGACAAATGTGCTTTTAGCATCCATATAAAAATAAACAAGGCATTAACATGCGAAATATCACCACCTGACATTTGTCACAGATGCCAAATCCAAGACACAAACCACCGAACACCAACTGCCAAACATCAACTGGTGAACACTAACCTCTGAACACCAACCACCATCACAAAAAAGTAGGAGACTATAACAATATGTGGTGACATAAAAACATATTGAACTATTTGAAGCCAATAGTATATTATACAGCATGTTCCTTCATTTTTTCTTTACTAATTTTAACATTTAGCAAACTTCTAAGATTTCATGCCTTTCAGTACAGATTCAGAACAAGATATCATAATTCTGATGGTATGGAATTTTGATATGTAAGCACATATCACAAAAAGGAGAAAACCAAAGAACAAGACAAATTGCAAGAATAAGAGACATCTCCACGCAAAACGAGTCTAAAGGGATGAACAAACCCCAAATATCCAAATCTGTGATATACATACAAAGAAACATTTCAACAATTCAAAACCTCAACACTTTAGAACATTTTATTCATAATGAAGTCATCATTAGACAATATCGAGTGAATACAGACTGAAAAGTGCTATCATGACTGGCCCATAACATCCCACGTTTAATGGATACACCATACTTGTACATTTACCCCTAACCCTTTATAATACAGTCTTTGTGTTATCCTCTACTCTCTTGAAATACCAAAAATTTTTTGATCTTGCTTTTTAAATCAAAATCAGTAGTCCAAAAACAACAAGTATCCATGAAATCAGAGTTGCAGTCAATGGATTCTTTTCTGAGTATATGCAGCCAGCATTTATTCATATCTGAAGTTTCACAAAAACATTTTTGTG